GTTTGGCCGACTTGGGGCCCTCTTTCGGTGCTTCATGGGCTGTCTTGGAGCTATCTTGGAAGCATCTTGGGCCAGCTTGGATGGTCGGAAACCCAGAGGCGAGAACTTCAACATCATTGAACAATCGAACGACAATCAATGCTTGTTGCCTCCTCGGGGGCCTCTTGGAGCCTCTGGGGGACGACGTCGTCTTGGGGGAATCTTTTGGGGCCTCTGGCGTCAGGGCCACCGCACGCGCGTCACCGTCGACGAACGAACACACACCGCAAGGGACAGGCGAAGTGGGTAGGAGGACCAGGAGGCCTAAGGGGCGCCATAGGACATCGGAGGCGGCGGTGGCGGGGCCGGTCCTCGAAACCAGTAGCGGCGGCTTCGGAGAGGGGGGAGGGGGGGGGAAATCTCCCAAAGAGGCGCCACAGGAGGAATGTGCACCACTGCCGTCCACGAGGGGGGGGAGGGAGTTCCGCCCCTTCTCCGCCGCCTCCTCCTGTCCCTTACTCCCTCTCCTTCTCTGTCTCAGTACTCCCCTCGTCGTCCCCTCCTCCTTCGCCTCTCCCCTCCTCGTCGCTCCCTCCTCCTTCGCCTTTCCCCTTCCTTTCCGCGCCACCCCAGAATCACCCGTACTGGCCACTTGAGGTTTTTTGGGCCGTCTTAGGGGTTTCTTGGCCTTTCCTCTGACGCCGTCGGATACCGTCTTGGTTGGGGGCATGTCTGGCCCTCTTGGCGCCCTCTTGGGGACCTTTACGACCCTCTCGGTAGACTCCCGCGCGATCTTTGGGCCCTCTGGGGCCGATTCGGGGCCTTCTTGGGGTGCGTCCTGGGCTATATTGGAGCTATCTTGAGAGCCTCTTGGATGCCTCTTGGGCCGTCTTGGGCGGTCGAAGCTCCAGACAGGCGAGAGCCTCAACATCTATCAATTATCCGGGCGAATGGCAACCATATGCACTTGTGGGTGCCGCGTTGTGGCACCGCTTTCGGTGGAGCTCCCTATGAGGCCACGAGGCGTGCTAGGAGTGTGCCGAAATGGGCGGGGAACCGCATGCGAACCCCGCCACTGATGCAAACGTTGGAGCTCCCTATGGGGCCACGAAGCGTGTGAGGGGTGTGCCGGTATGGGCGGGACACCGCATGATAACCTTGCCATTGGGCTTTCGGTGGGGCTCCCTACGGGGCCGCGAAGTGTGTGTGTGTGTGTGTGTGTGTGTGTGTGTGTGTGTGTGTGTGTGTGTGTGTGTGTGTGGGGTGTGTGCCGACATGGGCGGGGAACCGCGTGCGAACTTTGCCACTGAGGCCGTCGGTGAGGGGTGTGCCGAAGTGGGCGGGGAACCGCATGCGAGCGTTGCCACTGGGGCCTTCAGTAGCCCCCTGTGGGGCCTCAGGACGTGTGGGGGCGTTCTGAAATGTGCTGGGAACCGCATGCGATCTGTGCCACTGGTGCCTTCGGTGGGACTCCCCATGGGGCCACGAAACGTGTGAGGGGTGTGCCGAAACAGTGGCGCGCGGAGGGGAAAGGCAGGTGATCGGAGGAGGGAGGGCGAGGAGGAGGAAGTAGGAGAGGGGACCGGGGGCGTTGTCTCTTCAAAACGAGGACCCAACACCACATGACGGTCGGGTAACAACTTCGTAGACAACAGACGAGCATTCTAACGCCCGCTCCGTGCAGGCACGGTGGCGGATACTCAACACAGGACCCTCAATGATCTGGAGACACCACAAAGCCCAACAAGCTGGGCCATCATGGGGCGCACGCAATAAGGCCCCTCCCCATTGCGCACCGGGGCAAGAACCAGACATCCCAACAAACTTGATCATCTTAAGGCACGCTGGACCCCCGTCGGCCACATCGCGCCGCGGGCTTCCTGGGGTTGGCCAGAATCGTCCGTTCTGGCGTCATTTGGCTGGGGGGAAGAGAGGATGACGTCGACGACGTGGAGGCTCATCCGCAGCGACCAGCTCAAGTTTTCGTCACGATTTACCCGCTCTGTTCCGCACGTCGCTTCCGCGAGCCTCCTCTGGCCTCCCTGCGAGCGGCCATGGCGTTCGGCAGCTCCCTCCGATTGCTCCTGCTGCCGATCCCGCTGAGCCTGGGCTTCAACAGGACGGCGACCAAGAGGCAGCTTCGGGGCCTCCTCTCCGAGACGATCTACTGCAACCCCTACCTGCAGCAGATGTGCCCCCCAGGTGACGTGGCGTGCCCGCAGTGCGGTTCGGACAGGTGCGAATGCCCCGGCAGCCCAGGTCCGAGCCCCAGCCCAGACACCGAGTGCAGCTGGGAGGAGCACAGGAACAGCGACGGCAACAATTTGCTGCAAGCTCCCTGGTCCCAGGACCCGCAGGCGTGCTGCAACCACTGCGGCGAGCAGTCGGGGTGCGCGGCGTGGACCTTCATTCAGGGCAGCCACGAGTGCTGGTTGAAGAGCTGGGTGCCGTCTAGGGACCAGTGGCGCTGGGACGACTCGGCCATCAGCGGCCAAATCGGGGCGCCGAGCCTCCAGGCGGCCCTTGATGCGCCAAGCAACAGCTCGCTCCAGGGCCTCCTCTCCGAGACGATCTACTGCAACCCCTACCTGCAGCAGATGACGTGGCGTGCCCGCAGTGTGGTTCGGACAGGTGCGAGTGCCCCGGCAGCCCAGGTCCGAGCCCCAGCCCAGACACCAAGTGCAGCTGGGAGGAGCACAGGAACAGCGACGGCAACAATTTGCTGCAAGCTCCCTGGTCCCTGGACCCGCAGGCGTGCTGCAACCACTGCGGCGGGCAGTCGGGGTGCGCGGCGTGGACCTTCATTCAGGGCAGCCACGAGTGCTGTTGAAGAGCTGGGTGCCGTCTAGGGACCAGTGGCGCTGGGACGACTCGGCCATCAGCGGCCAAATCGGGGCGCCGAGCTTCCAAGCGGCCCTTGATGCGCCAAGCAACAGTTCGCTCCAGGGCCTCCTCTCCGAGACGATCTACTGCAACCCCTACCTGCAGCAGATGTGCCCCCCAGGTGACGTGGCGTGCCCGCACTGTGGTTCGGACAGGTGCGAGTGCCCTGGCAGCCCAAGTCCGAGCCCCAGCCCAGACACCAAGTGCAGCTGGGAGGAGCACGTGAACAGCGACGGCAACAATTTGCTGCAAGCTCCCTGGTCCCAGGACCCGCAGGCGTGCTGCAACCACTGCGGCGAGCAGTCGGGGTGCGCGGCGTGGACCTTCATTCAGGGCAGCCTCGAGTGCTGGTTGAAGAGCTGGGTGCCGTCTAGGGACCAGTGGCGCTGGGACGACTCGGCCATCAGCGGCCAAATCGGGGCGCCGAGCCTCCAGGCGGCCCTTGATGCGCCAAGCAACAGCTCGCTCCAGGGCCTCCTCTCCGAGACGATCTACTGCAACCCCTACCTGCAGCAGATGTGCCCCCCAGGCGACGTGGCGTGCCCGCAGTGCGGTTCGGACAGGTGCGAGTGCCCCAGCAGCCCAAGTCCGAGCCCCAGCCCAGACACCAAGTGCAGCTGGGAGGAGCACGTGAACAGCGACGGCAACAATTTGCTGCAAGCTCCCTGGTCCCAGGACCCGCAGGCGTGCTGCAACCACTGCGGCGGGCAGTCGGGGTGCGCGGCGTGGACCTTCATTCAGGGCAGCCACGAGTGCTGGTTGAAGAG